TTATGACGCCCCCCCACCCTCACCACCACTGCAGCACGGGCCTCTGGCTGGCTGTGTGACATTTGCCGAACAGCTACGGGTCAAAGTTGACAGGCAGACAACAAGGTGGAGGGAGCCGTCAAGAAGGTAAAGAGGCTGGAGGACCGCGGAGGTACGGAAAGGTGTGCCGGGCTGGCGGGGCGGGAGGAGGGGCCACGCAAGCAGCCGCCATCCGCTGTTCGCACTGGAAGATGTCCTCTTCGCTCTCAAAGTCCAGCCCACGTTTAAAGGCAGTGGTTCTCGAACTTTTTGCACTAAGTGCCACCTATCAGCATGAACACGTTACTAATTTTGCAATTTTCATTCGTAAAAAGTTTCAATTTTTTCTCGAATTAATTCGATTACTTCAGTATTTTTCATGCACAATTAACACCTTGAAAAAAGCATTTTGCCACTTGCTGTCGACTGAAAATGACCTCACTTGTGCTCACGTAGAAACAATCACGGCTCATGGGATGTTCGCAAACTGAGCGAGCCGTTATTGGTCGTTACCTGAACCCTGTGTACATGCAGTCAACAGCATGTAACAACAGGTTTTTAATGGTAGATAAAAAAATAATATAGTTAGCAAATTCAATACAGACAAAAAAAAAATACTTTTTACTGCAAAAATCAAAGAATACTTGACTAAATTAAATACATTTAAAAGAATTGCAATATCAGAAACTCGGCTTGACAATGAAAAAAAAACAAGTGACCTGAAATTGGAAGGATATTAATTGTTTGCAACAAATAGGGAAAATCGAAAGGGAGGAGTTGCAATGTATGTAGACAAAGCTCTTAGGTATCGTAAAATCGAGAGGTTGACGAACACAATGGAGAACGACTGTTTAACTATTGAAATACATATTTTTTTAAAAAGCATCTAATGTAATCATAAGTTGCATTTATAGGACACCAGGATCATGTCTTGACACAGACTACCCCAGGCCCCCCATCTCCAAGCATGCTCCTTTTTGGCTCAGTCTGGTGGTATTGGAAGCTGGCTGTGAAGCATACCTCTTGGTGCCCACAGACAGCATTTATATTGTCCGACATCATTTTTATTTCACAAAAAAAAAACAAAAACGGATTAAATCAAACACTTGACCTCTTAGTTTCAGAGTTTTTCATTACCTGCCAAAATGCCAATTGTGAAGTTTCGCTGGCACCATAGATAGCACTTGTAACTCAAAACAAAAACAAACAAACAAAAAAAAAAGCATACTTTGAAAATCTTGGAAGATTTGTCACTTGTAGTCGTAACTGAAGGTACCACTAAACTTTGCATTAGAAAAATGTTACAAAAAGTCAAATTACCGGTTCTACTATTGAGCGATACACGGGACTACTGTTGGTGTGTCCAAACTACAGCCCGAGGGCCATTTGCTGCCTGCCTTTTTTAGCAGCTTGCTGCATATGCTAAAATTGACAATTGCCACAGCCTGTGGAATTTGCCTGAATTGCACTACTTGCTTTCTACACTGGGTGGCGAGGATGAATACAAAAATGTTCTCATCTCTCACTTTGTTTTCCACCAGTTACACATAATTCGGTAAGATCACCTCGGAATGCCGATTCTTTGCCCCAATTTTTGCTTCATGGCAAGGTCATCTTTGACAGCTTGCTCTTGTTTTGGTTCTAAATGTGGAGTTGTGTTGTCTGTTGTCTGTTTAAGAGGGAGGAAATTTGATCTGTGCTGACATACAGCACATTTGACAATAAAGTTGTACTTGATACTTGATACTTGACTTGATTATTCTCTTGCTCAGTTCAAGGGTAAATCTGTTCTGATGGGATACAGGGCTGTTGAATTTTTGCTTTGTCACCTCTGTGGTTTTTTTTTTGATAATATACTGTATATGTATAAAGACATATTCTGATGTTATACATACAGTATGTACTGTAAATTGTTTGTGGTATTACACAAAAGCAATATTACGATGTTCATGCCCACTTTCCAGTTAAATTTGAGGTTTGTTCACATCGTGATACACAAGCTGTTGTTCATGCGCATGAAGTTTGCTTTTTCTGTAATTGCACAGTCTGGACTTTGAGATTTAAATGCCTATTTACCGTTGAAGTTGATGTCTCAACATGTTTACAGTCATTTGGCTTAGCTTCTGAGTCAAAAATTGAGTTTGCCCCGCTCAAGTGAAAATACAGAAAAAAAAGACAAATACCGTACCAAATTTGTCATGTCCTGTTTCAAATCAAATGGCATTCAAAGAGCAACCATGTTAGGTTCACTGAAGACACTAAATTGTTGTGATATTAATTTACTCCATCACGGGGAAATTCTGTATGAACGGTTTCAAACAGGGCGGCACGGTGGGCAACGGATTAGCACGTCCGCTGGGATAGGGTCCAGCACGTCCGCGACCCTCGTGAGAATGAGCGTATAGTATTAGAAACTGGATGGAAGTAGCCGACATTCGTACAAATAATGCAGAAGAATAACCATTTGTTTTTGTACCTTATGTGGTAATTGTATGCGTGTGCGTGTGTGGTTTTAAAAGATACGACGAAGAAGGTGGGGAAAGAGTCGAACCGAACCAGAGTAAACATTTTTCCCCATTTTACTCATCTTTGCTCTCTGAGTTGCGAATGAATGAAACGTTGGCCAAACCGGAAGTAAAGGTAATATTACCAAACCGGAAGCACAGAGAGATTAAGTCTTGGTCTGAGTGTTTGTCTTTGTAAACATGCTAGCTTGGGAGTGACTTGGGAGACAGTTGAGATAAGACTGCCCTGCCCAGTTGAGACATTTATATCACACGACAACAGCCTGACGCATATAAAACGGCTGTGCATGGAAATAAGCGCAGTGTACAGGAGTGTAACGTATCGATTTGCAAAAGACCAACGACAGAAGCGAGAGCCGAGAGGTAAGGGAACCGGAACCCTTCTAAAAACTTTGTTTCCAAATGAACATTGATTTACAACTTTCACAAGGACGGAAGAATGCAGTCTGGTATTGAAAAAATATATATAATTTATTTAAAGCAATTAGCTTGCATATAATGTCCAATTGTGCAGCAGCGCTTTAATTTGAGTTATTTGACATTGTTTTGGTGAAATACGACAGGCTGCCTTTAACAATACGCAGGTGCTACTCTTGTCTGGCCTATCAGAGGTAGGTATGCTTTTTTGATCATTAAATGATAAAATTCGAAAAAAAAAATGGCATGAGGTCAAACGCCGTATTCTTTATTGCAATGTTTACTCCAAAAGGTTGCTTTCTGTGCTTGTCGCATTATTTCGTACTTTATTTTGCATTGTTATGCAAGTTTTGCCAGTGACGTCACTGAACACTCTTTCGTAGAGTTACCTAACAATTAATATTTTAGGTTATATTTTAATAATTACATTTTACCTGGATTACAAATACAGAATGTCGTTTTTTGCGTTGTTTGAATGTGTGAGAACGCTTCAGCTTTTCTTCTGCTACTCACATAATGTACAGAGTGCCTTCTATTACGACACACTAAGTTTCGAAGTTCCGAACGGCGTAAGATCTGTGCAGGTCACGCAGCACAAGAAGACACCTTCAGTTAACGTTTTTTTCCGCCACGGGATTGTTTAACATCTTTGTATTTTTATACAAGCATTTTATATAATTCTGAATGAAAGTTTGTTGGGTTACTATTATTTAGATCCTTGACTTAATTCGGGTAACGTCACAGCTGTATCGTAGGATTTGAACACCGTCGTAAAACAAAGACCAGCTGCATGTGTAATTAGGGTAGTTTTCTTGTACTGTATTGACAAGTATAGAGGACAGCATTCGCCTCAAGACTCAGACTGTGTGTGTGTGTGTGTGTGTGTGTGTGTCTAATTTTATTTATTTATTTTAGAATGTGGCTACCTTTGGTTGGATTCACCGCCCTGCCACACCTCGGAGGGCTCTATGGCGGTTACATCACCCGAACTCAGGTGAAGACCTGGTACCCCACCCTGCAGAAACCATCATGGCGGCCTCCGAACGCAGCGTTCCCCGTGGTGTGGACCTGTCTGTACACAGGAATGGGGTGAGGATCACTTGCAAGTGTCTCTGTGCAATAAAGCCTCCAAAGTCAGTGACATAAACAAGCGGCAAACCCATTCAGCCTATCCCAGCTGTCTTCGGGCAGTAGGCGGGGGACACCCTGAACCGGTTGCCAGCCACTTGCAGGGCACAGACAGACGAACAACCATCCACACTCACAGTCACGCCTCGGGACAATTTAGAGTGTTCAGTCAGCCTGCCATGCATGTTTTTGGAATGTGGGAGGAAACCGGAGTACCCGGAGAAAACCCACGCAGGCCCGGGGAGAACATGCAAACTCCACACAGGGAGGCCGGAGCTGGAATTTAACCCGTTACCTCTGCGCTGTGAGGTCGACACGCTAACCACTGGTCCACCGGGCCGCCGGGATGAGTGTTCATATCTGTATAAATGAAACGTCTCGACTCACTCCAGCAAAGGCCCTTGGCACCAAGATGCCACAAGATGGCGCCAATGTAACAGTTTCATATATTCACTGGGCCCCTGCTTTTCATGGGTGATGGGGACCGAATAGTGAAAGTCACTGAAATCTTAAAAAAAAAAAAAACTCCAACAGGCCTTTTCCATTAAAAAGTGGTGTTCCATCAAACGTTTACTTACATCTCTGAAAAAAGTTTGTACAAATATGACGATTAGTTATTTTTCAGTTAATAACCGACAATAGATTGCAAAAACAAATTTACACTGAATTCATGAATGCCAAATCACGAACATGCAAGAATTAATTGTATTGCCAATTTTGTTGCATTCCAAAGTTGCCACAACATGGCAGCAAATCACTACATTTGTTGAACTGAAGCTCCTCAAATTATTTTCAACATGACTCCTTGATACCAAGACGCTGCCAAAATAATAGTTTCACATGGTTGAATAGCATATCATGTTTCTTTTGCGAATAGTGGAGAATAGCTCCCAAAAAAAAATCCGTAAACTGTACTGTCAATTTTTTTTTTTTTTTTTTTTTGTGCATTTCATCCTCCAAACTGGAATTCCACCACACAGGTACGGCTCCTATTTGGTGTGGAAAGAACTTGGAGGTTTCACTGAGGATGCAGTGGTGCCACTGGGACTTTACGGGATGCAGCTGGCACTCAACTGGGCCTGGACGCCCATTTTCTTTGGCGCACATAAGCTCAAATTGGTAAGCTCGACACACCCGTTTGATTCTTCTTCTTATTTTTGTCTAAAAACGTACCACCCCCATCAGGCCTTCTTCGAGATTGTGCTTCTAACTGGGACCGTCGGCGCCACCATGTGGTCTTGGTATTCCATCAGCCGAACAGCCACTCTGCTGATGGCGCCCTACTTGGCCTGGCTGTCTCTGGCCACTTCCCTCAGCTACTGCATATGGAGAGACAACCCTGAGAAAAAAGAAGAGTAGGAAAAAAAAGGCAGGGGATCTTTACATGAGCCTTGAGCGAACAGCATCAGCATTTCATGTGATCAATTATGGGGCCTTTAAAATGATCTTTTTCTGTTACGTACATTTTTATTTGCACTAACCTTTTGGTTTCTGAGCCCAAAGTGATTGGCTTGATGATATCACTCCACTGGATTGTTGATAGCACAGTCAGAAAGACACTTTGGAAATGATTTTTTTTTTTTAAACCAGCATCTTTGTTTTTTACAGTTCTCTGCGCACATGATTTAGCTTAATAATTTCCCAATGTAATCATGTCAATGTTTGACAGTCTACTTCTTGTAAAACAATGCTTCGTCAACCACGTTTAATCGAGCCTCAGAAGTTCTTCCAAATGTTGAGCAAATATCAAAGACGTAGCTGAATTGCAGTCTAGGGTGAAGTTAATTTTTCGTTGTGTAAAAACATTTTCAGTATTTGCTTTTGTATGAACATTGCCATCCGCACATGAATGAAGAATAAAATGATTCATGATGATCGTAAGCATATCAATTGGTTGTCCACGCGTCTAAATTCTTTAGTTTTAGTGTACTGCACTGCAAAGAAGGAACAGGTGTAATAAATGTGTCTTGCAAACATACATAGCAATGCTTCTTTGTTACATCACATGAAATATTTGTACCTCTATATTGGCTCCAACTTAAATGGATCATAGTGGATGGAACTACTCACCCATGTTCAGATGACAATTGACTGTGTGTGTTGCTACATAATTTGAAAACTATCCACTCTTAATGTGATCTATACAACCTGAAAATGGAAAAGAAAAATATTTGTGAGGAAGCCCAAAAAACTGAAATAACACAATTGTACATGAGTGCATACCCGCTTGTAACTGGGATGAGTCTGTCTCATCAAAACTATTAAATGGGAGTCAGCACACACCTGCCACCAATTAAAGTGCCTCTGATTGATCCCAAATAAATTTCAGATGTTTTAGTAGGCTTTCCCCCACTTTTTTTAAACTCTGTATTAGCCAGGTTTTGTGCTAATATTTACTGATCCTTCTTGTCTAATGCCCCCGTTCCAGTGAAAGAAGACAGTTAGCATGTTGTTTTTTGGTGGTGAAAAAGTTTCAGTTCTTTTGAAAAACATCCATGGATAACAATAATGATATTTTGACTTCAAACGTGAATACAAATAACCACCAGCAAAGATAGCAACAATAATCTTTATTTTCATACAAATTAACATAAGTATATAAAATTTTATTTTTCAGGGGCTTTCTCCGGAACCTCCTCTGTTGACTTGGAGGAAAACCTCTCTGTTAACGTTTTCCACAAACTCTTTTTATCATCATCTGACTGCTGCGCACTACCTGAATGATGGGGAAAAATGGAGGAAAAAAAATCAAATGTTAATGTGAGCGTCACACATGGGAAAGCAATGACGACTGTAATGTGTCCTGACCTGACAACATTAATTTACACTCCTCTGCTGTGACTCCAGTGAAGCTTGTGTCTCTCACACGAGGAAACTGAAACCAAACACACCAACTTTTTGGATTTTTGTCAATTAGCTGACAGCATCACATTCTTAAGACATTTAATGATCACAATTTACAAAAGAAGCCTGAAGCTGTACATCCTTTAAGACATTAATTTTACAATATGTTAATAATTTTGGTTGAAATTTGCAGTATGCTACGTACAATACACTGCATAATATACAGAGCACTTAAAGTGTGTTCTGCTTCTTCCATACAGCCAAAATTCAAATATAAGGAACACCTCTGTGTTATGATACAGTGCAGTTGGAAACTTGACACAAGGTTTAAAACACACAGGCTGAGAAAATCATACATTTTTGACTTTATATTGACACTTACTCGCTGTTTGTACGTATTTGCATTAATTCTTGCCAGACTTTCATAAGTCTGATCACACTTCTCTGTGTCCGAGATCTGGAAACAGACAACCAAGAAAGCACACGAAGCCACAATTTAACTGGAGGAAATCAAAATGCTCTTTCAATCTGCTAACAGGGAACAATCTTTATTTCATCAAACCCCCCTAACCCCAGCAATTTAGAGTTTAAGATGAAATATCTGACAAATAAAATTGTCGTCATGCTGATATCGTGAGCCTTGAATAACTATGATTTTGGGGCAAGCTGGTTACACAGTTTATTTGACAATTTAAGAATTATGTTAGCATTATTTTCATTTTTACACTTATGATAAGCAGGAATATAAAATAAATACGGTGGAAACATTTAAGATTAATTCCGTGTTTGTCCTTAATAACATTACATTTTATTCTTGGGGAAAAACAGTCGACTACACACTACTGCTACTAATAACGCCGCTAATAAAATTTTCCAGTAACATTAGTGGAAATAACGCCACGGTTTACACAGTTGGAGGCAAATTTTAAATACAGCAGGAACAACCATTACACTAATAAAGCAAATGACACATTACATATATTATAGGCTATATTGAAACAGGATTAATAAAGGTCATTCTGAATAAATGACATCCATTAATTGGTATTAATTGAAGGTGAGAGCGCGCAAGGTCGACCGACCGCTCACTGTTTCCAAGTTAGCTTAGCGTCGGGTTATGTAGCGGCGTAGCCGTGTCACCGGTGTTTTCCCTACCTGAGTGTTTTCCCCCTCGCGGAAAGCAGCTGCTACTCGCTGCCGCAGAAACGTTCCTAAATCTCGACCTTTCTTGCTCTCGTCGCGTGGCCATTCCTCGCACAGCTTTAGGAAGCGACGGTAGCGAGTGGCAGACATCGTCACGCGTAAGCTCGATTGAATAACGACGTGAATAAGAAACCTTTTGGAGCCAAGTCGCTCGCCGTAGTGAGCTCGTGAACGTGTACTTCCGGTGCGTTCTGCATTGTCGCTAAGCTAGTCTCACCGCAGGGTGGTTATTCAGCATCATGAGCGGAGTAGGGGGCAAAAAGAGTTCGTCCGGCTCGTCAAGTGTGACAGATTGGATTAGTTCGGCGTGTAAATTTGCGACAGACAGAAATGATTTCAGGAGGTGAGTCAAAGTAGTGCGAAGCGGTTTTATAATAACCATGTGTCTGGTAGCATTTTTTTGCTAGCATTACCATCTCGTCAGCAGAGGTTTGTCCTTGCCAGAGGGTCTTCCATTGGATAAATAAAAACATGTTATGTCATATAAAAACTATGATGGTAACCACCAGTTTGCAATGTTAAAATTAAAATTACAGTATCGGATATGTTCGAGATTTTTGTCTAGTAGAAACGCAGTTAATCTTCTGCATGTCACTGTGAGTCGTCGTCATAGATGATCACCAATTTTGACACAGGCTAAAAATAATAAAGCTTCTGTAAAAGATTTTTGAATTTTGATTTTCAGGAATCTGCTGGTCAACCTGGGGTTGTTTGCAGCTGGTGTTTGGGTTGCAAGAAATCTCTCAGAGTTTGACTTGATGGCCCCTCAACCTGTCACATAACCCTGTCACAGTCTGGACATGGTGGGCTTCCATTTGTGCTTAATTTGACATTTGCCAAATGCAGTTATGTATATTGATATTTTGCAATCACGTATTGTCGTTTTTAGGTGTCTTGGACTACAAAGGAAGAATCAAACAATTTAAAGAAAATAACATTTGTTAAATCCTAATTTGAACTGTATTATCTCCTAATTCATAATTGCTTTTTATATTTCTACTTTTTTGTTTTCATTGTCTAGATGTGAGAACATTAAGTCTGCTCTTGTTGCCGAGCTTGTAAAGTACTTCGACTGTTTAGAAAGTGTAACATATTTAAACAATTGCGTTTGATTTGTCAAGCTATGCACACCCGGGAGCTCTTTGTTGATGCTGCTCGTAAATGTTTGTCCACTGGAAGGAAACATCTCTCCGTCCCTCACAGTCTGGATGTGGCTGCTCAGCTCTCGGCTGTTGATTCAGCTTTGAAACCCGCTCTGCTGTATGACGCCAACAGCGCCAGTGCAGAGCAGGTTCATCGGTATTTGCGCTCGTGTCAATCGTCCCAACTCGTGTCAGACTCCCTTGTCACCTTGGACTTGCACGGTAACACCCTCATTGTTAACCCAGTCGCGATTCGCTCCAATCTAGAGAGGATTCTTCACAATAGCGGCCCGGCAATGATTGACATCAGCCACTCACTGGAGAAACCAACCATCATCGAGCCAGTCAGAACAGGCCTGAAGAGTATTGCGCAAGATCTCCTATTTCTTCTTCGAGACTTAAATGCAGCAAAGGATGTTGACAAAGTCATTTGTGTGGCAGTGGGTTCAGATGAGTGGAATCTGAGTGCTGTCTTCGGACTGTTACTGGGTTACCCCGCCGTCTACTGGTTTGACCAGACTGAGAGCTTTGAAAACTGCCTCGCCATGACCCCCTTGACGGTGACCACGGCATCTGCAACATGGTTTGCAGGTGCCTCCAGCCATCAACTTTACTCATTCAGCATCCCGGCCGTCCTACAGAATGAGACTCTGTCCAGCCTGGTGGAGTGGAAGCTTGGCCTTCAAGAGAGATTCCAGCAGCAAAATATTCTAAAGGAGCTCACTGTTTGTCAATCTGCAGTCACTCTGCCGTCAGTCTGTTTGTGACCCAACATCACATACTCATGACTCCATTAAACTGTTAAAAGATCCTTTTCTCCTTGTTTATTAACACAGCATGACATTTGCAACCGTATTTACAAATGGGACATGATAATCAGAAAACAGTGGAGGAGGAACATTTGAACCCAGGCGGAATTGATTTTACTGCTTAACCCTTATTCCACAAATGCAACATTAATCAGAATACCATATTTAGACAAGTGGGGCTGATAGAACATAATCTTGCAAAGAAAACTTTGTGGTCAAATTTTCCTTAAAAAAATATAAATATTCAATATATATCGACATGAACTGATGTAAAATACTTATACCATGATACACTTCAACCATGTTGCCCAGCCCTAGTGGCATAATAGGCCCAAGAGTGAACCATGAGTATGTGGGGGTCCACTGTACTCCCAAGAGGTTACCTTAGTATTATTGAAAGCCACTCTAACATGCACAGTGTGAACAGTCACACTGCTTAAATATAGGAAAACATGAACTGATTCAATTAAAATGTAGTGTACGCAGGTGAAAGAATAATTGTACCAAAACACCTGAAAACAAATTCTTAAGGATTAAATCCACGGTCAACAAACTCTTATTTACTGGCGTTCAAAAGGGTTTGCCAGTCAAAAATGTTGACTCCACAATTCTCACTACAGTACCACCGAAGTTGAAACAATAAATTATTTTGCATACCACTTGAGGGAGCTCGCGTGCCACCAGTGTGATTAAATCTCAATGACAATTAAAATCTAAAAAAAAAATTTTTTTTTAATTGAATCACTCAAACTTTGGGCAGTGTATTACTAATTTTATACTTAACCGTACATATAGTTGCTGTTCTCTTCATGAGGTCCACCTGCAATTTGTGTCAGTAGATGCAGTGTAGACTTACAGGTTATCAAATTGTCATGTTTCGCTTATGACCTCAACAATGCAAAGTGAAATAATTGACATTATTTAAATAGATTTATGGACATTAACAATTAGAAATAAAGCTGTTAGCAACCGATACTTAGTGGATTCCGATTACACAGTTAGTATGTGATCTAGTATCAGAAATGTCAATACTCACTGGCCACAATATTAGGCACACCTGCTAACAGGATGCCTAACAAAAGCTGCACCAGTAACTCTGCCTTTAAAAATGATAATGCTCAGTTTTAATTGACAGAA